TCTTTTGCATGACAACATATTGTCTTAGTGAGATAGGAGACACTCAGTTTCCCTGGGCTCCAGTTTTAGGACATGCCTCTGGGTTTCCAGCCACTCCCCAAGGTCTCAGGCCCCTCCTCTAAGCCCTCCCCTAGAAGAAAGCTACTGTTGCCAGTTAGACCTATTTTCAGCACCAACACAGGAAAATGATACCCCAAGGAGCTGGCTTATGCAAATCCAGTAGCTGGGCATGCTTAATAGAAAAGGGTCATATAACCTTGGTAGCTGAACGACCTTCCACTAGAGGAGCTAGAGAGCCCAGAATATTCTTGAATATGTCTGGTACATGTGATAGGACTTAACTAATGAACATGCTTCAAGAAGAGACCAACTGAGCATGTGCAAGACTATGTCCTGGGAACCACCTCCTTAATTGAATATTCATTAGATAGAGAAACTATAAAAGATGATTCCCAGCAGAAAGTGGGGCTGCTGCTCATTCTCCTGGAGGCAGCCTGCACTCTGTCTGTGGAGTGTGTATTTCTCTGTATCAAACTCACTTTCAGCAAGTGGCTGCTCATTCTCTGGAGCCAGCCTGTACTTTGTACTGAACTTTAAGCATGTATTTTTCTTACTTTTGTATTAAACTTGGTGTGGGCCCTGCTCAGTCTCTGGAGCTAGGCCACACTCAATCTTTGAAATCTGTATCTCTTATTCATTATATTAAACCTTTTCTCATTTTTTACTGTGACTCTGCTCATGAATTCTTTTCTGTGGTGGAGTCAAGAACCTGGTAAGAGGATGGGGTGGGTTGAGGCCGACTATCAGGTCTCCCAGACCCTACCTCTGACATCATTAGTTCTGTCAAAAAGTTTTATTTGCCCAGTTTGTAGTTACAGACATTGCCTGCCAAATCTTGACCTGAGGACCTCACAGCTGTGTAATTATGTATGATCACTTACTCCCTGTACCCTTGAATAATAGGCTGACAAGCTAATCAGTACTTTGCAAAGCTAATGGTTCTTTATTTGAGACTTGTAGAGTTTTGAGAAGTGATCAAGGCTAAATGAATGGAAGCTGACCTTAGGCACTGGCCAAGTCAACCAGAGCTCTGTGAAGTGAAGCTATGCAAAAGACTTTGCAGAAGGGTAGATTTGACTCTGGAGCAAATGAAAATCTTGGAAGGTCCTGAGACAACAGCAAGGATGAGAACAGAAACCAGACGAGGCCTTGGTGAGACCTTGTATGTATAGGATTCATAAAGCAAATATACTTCACAGGGCTTGGTTTTCCAAAGCCTTGCAGTTTCAAATATTGACCTTGCAAAGGACAAGAAATTTTCCTCAGACTATAAAGTCTCTGGTGTAATATAAAGATTTGTAACATAGCAAGGTTGCTGGCTCAAAGGCAGACTAGTTACTGATTGATATGTAAAGATACTGGGAAATTGCTGTAAGAAGGAATGTTTGCTAAGATCAAGCTTTTGTTGGTGGATCACTTAATTGCCTTAATTGAATGTCATCTGACTTGTCTTTACTGAATGTTACCAGCTTCTATTGCTAAACTTGTTAAAACTTTTACCCCACCTATGTTTCTTACTGTAACTTCCTGGGCTAAAGAATAAATGCAGGAAGAAAACCCCAATTTGGGGTTAATTTCCCAAGGAGGGAATCCCTCTCGCTTTAGGGTTCAAGTGGAGATTAACCACTTTGGGGTTTCTCACTGCTCAGAAGAGATGGGCTTTGAGTAATCCTTTGCGGCTCCATTGCCCAGGGGAAGTGGGGTGACAAATCTGTGGGGGTCAAAGCAACACTTGTGCCTCCTGACTCACAGACACGGACCCCTTGTAGCTTACATCCCCTTCTCTCCTGCTTTTCACTTTCCACATTCCAGTCCCTCAAAGCCCCCCAACCTACTTTTTTTTTTTTCCTTTTTGTCTTTTTTCGTGTCCGGCAACGGATCGCAACCCTCAGTGTCGCCCCCGTACCGGACCGGGACCGGCAACGGGATCGCAATCCTCGGTGTTGCGCCCGCACCTTGCTCAGCCAGTGAGCGGGAACCGGTCTGTATGTGGGATCCGAACCCTCGGCAGGAGCGCAGCCGCGCTCCCAAGCGGTGCACTGTAGCAGTGCGCCACCAGGCCGCCCCCCCCCCCACCCTACTTTAAAAACCCCTCAGTAAACCTAAGTCTTTGAGATGGGAGAGCCTACCATCCCCTTCAGCTGAATACATCTGCTTTTCTCACAGCAATCATTTGACTTCTGAGTCTTTTCTTTCCATCTTGAGGGGGCAGACAGCTGGACCTGAGTTCAGTAGCAAGAGTACTATAACTTTGACTTGTGCCCATAAAAAGAGTGATCTAGACATTGGGGGCACACAGTACAGTGGGTTGCTGGAGAGGCTTCTTAGCCTGGGTGGCCCACCTTTGAATCTGAATTTCTTGCCCACTAGCATTGTGACCTTAGTCAAGCGACTTTTCCAAGCCTCTTGGAAAAATAACTTCCCCATCTGTAAAGTCATTACAGGCAGTATGGACCCTCCTCACAGGGCTGTGGCATAGACACATGGTGCTTGGGTACACAGCACTTAACTGATGAAGGCTGTTGACAGTGAAAGACAGCAGTGACTGTTTCTGGGCATAGGCCCAGCTGCCTGCCCCAAACAAAAACAAAGTCAAAAGTCAAATGTTGGTGATAATGGAAGTCAGCTTTAATTCAGGAATACTGGTCACCTGGGGAGAGATGTTAGGCTAACCCATTTCTCCTGTAAACCTGCAGAATGGCCAGACTAAAACAATATCCCCCACTCAGATTTACTGAGGGGTTTTTAAAAGATGAGATTGAGAAGATGGAATGTGGGAAGTGAAAAGCAGGAGGGAGGGGGAAGTCAGCCATGTGGCTCCAATTGAAGAGCCAGGTGCAAGGTCTCACCAAGGCTCTGCCTGATGTGTGTTCCCATCCTTGCTGTTACTGTAGGGTCCTGCTGGAAGGGTGGAATCAGCACTGGCTTCTCAGGGTCTGCATTGTACGTGTCTTATAGCAAGTTTGCAGCTCCAGGCTTACTAGAAAACAACTTTACATTTACGTAAATAATGCCATTTTGCCCTGTAACCAAGGTTCAAAGTACCAAAAAACCATGCGAAAAGAGGGAACTCCCAGAGATGCATGCTAAGAAAAAATACTGTGTTTCTTTTCCTAAAGCTCATGAAGTTTTAGGTCCCAACATGGTTTCAGTCCTTCTCACTCCAACACAACTACATCTTATCGAGTATGTACCATGGGTCTGGCACTTTCCGTGAATTATTTCCTTTAATTCTCAAGACAACTCTGTGAGAGAGCTACTGCTGTTATCCTTTTACAGATTTCTTTCTTTCTTTAAAAGATGACCATTAAGGGGATCTTAACCCTTGACTTTGTGTTGTCAGCACCAGGCTCTCCTGAGTGAGTGAACCAGTCATCCCTATATAGGGAGCTGAACCCGTGGTCTTGGTGTTATCAGCACCACACTCTCCCAAGTGAGCCACGGGCGGGCCCTCCCATTTTACAGATTTCTAAGCCAAGGTGCAGGACAGGCAGAGCTACCTCTCCTGTTCACTCTTTGGGTCTTTGGCCATTTCTGCCTCTGCACGTGTTATCCTTCTTCCAGGGAAAATAAACTACAACCTCTGAGGTCAGTAGTAAGAGTAGTCGATATGAATGCTGTTATTGTCATGGTTCCTATAAACCCTCCGAACAAGCGTGGACTCCCGGGGGTGGGCCATACTTCCAAGTGTCCCTGGAAGTATGATCGAACCCAGGGTGGTAGTTTCCTTACCCGCCAGGGTGGCGCCCGCGCAGACTCCGTGCGTGTGGGGGCGTGGCCTGAGGGCGCGGCGTGGCTGCCGGGGCGGTGTCGGTGTCCGCGCAGACTCCGTGAACGAGGGGGCGGAACCGCGTGCACGGGGGCGGGCCCGCGGCGGCGGCGCGCTGACGTGGAGGATCAGGGTTAACGGGCACGGCGAGCAGCGGGATTGGGGGGCCACGGGCCGGGCCGGGCCCTCGGCCCCAGGCGGCGGCGGCGGTATAAAGCCGGCGACGGGGAGCATCTAATGTCGGAATGCGGACGCCGCGGCGGCGGCAGCAGCAGCGAGGACGCCGAGGAC